GATTATGTGATGTCGAACGCTCATTTCTCTCCTAAACACTGCTTAGTACGTGTCCTTGACGATGAAAGTGTTCAATACGGGTCAGATCATCTTCCTGTAGTGCTTGAGTATTCATCAAAGTGACTATGCTCAACAAAATCATGCAGCTGTAGAGTTGATATCACTCATAATCTCAATGCATATTTTTTATTTGTCTTTGATGTCAAAATGGAAAAAGCCAATGCCTTTTAATGAGGGGCATATGTTCAACAGAAAAATAAATCATTTATGCACGGTTTTGACAGGCATTGCCTGAGGCAGCCTCAATATTTAATGACGACGATGTTACGAGTTTATTACATTTAAATTACTGCTCTTTTAATGACTCTAACTGATCAGGTGAGTAGTAGAACAATCATATCAAGCAACGCATACCCATAAGGCATTTACAAGTTTAGAAAGATATTTTTTTCTAGGTTTAATCTACACTCATTCTAACGGTTTACTCAAAAACATTTCGAAACGTTTTCCATTTTGACATCAAAGACAAATAAAAAATATGCGTTGAGATTATGAGTGATATCTTCAGTTCATTCCATTTGTTGACACATTTGACTATTTTTCATTATTATTGATTTTATTATATACCAAGAAAAAAAGAGAGTACTACTTCGTACATCGCTTAGAGGACATGTTCTGAAACATTCAGACAACAAATAGAACCATAAAAAGCTGACGTTACAAAATGACGTTAACATTAGATCTCTTATTCTTCTTATGTTTTCATTTCATATTGCGAGCTTTCGGTAGTATACTCGACTGATTACCGTTAAAGAGTGCATGAAAAGCTGAACAAATTAAGGAGAAAATTTTGGGTTTCATTTGACTCGGGATAAATTTGTTTAGCCCAATTCGATCTCTGGTGTGCATGTGTCATAGAAATTGCTGATATTCTTTTGTTTCGTTTTAAATTTATCAATTTTATAAGAGTATGTACTAGAAACGACCAAAAATTACATCATGTTGTAGAGGATTTTCTGCTCTATCTCTAATATGAATTGTCAGTTATCTGGACGTAATCTAAATTAGTTAATTAGAATCACGTATGATTGCAGCTGAACTATTCATCATTTAAAAACTTATTTTAGCTTTCGAATAAACTTTATTCATCATCAGAAAATACAACAAGTTATAAAATGTACCTATAGAATGAACTGTCTAACACACTTATATATGTATATATCTATAGTCACTGGAGAAACAGAAAGAAAAATAAGAAAACTGTTCGTGAACGTTACTGTTTTTTCTTTTTCCTTCCCTTCACATTTGTACTGAAATGACCTTCTGGAAAGACGTAAAGTGGAACTGATCTATCAGTACCATTAAAGATAGGACCGGATTTAAAGATAGGATTTAAAGATAGGGATTGTTCTACTACTCACCTGAGGTGAGTAGTGAGGTGAGTAGTAGAACAATCATATCAAGCAACGCATACCCATTAGGATAAAAAAAATGCATAAACGTTTGTTTGTTTGTTTCATAGTACTTCTAACGACAGCACTTCAGAAAATGTTAAATCGCTTTTTGGATAAAAGATATGAATAATGTGTAATTGATAATGCTGAGCTGAATACACTAGCTGTAGAAACGCATTCACAGCGGTCTCTTATAGTGTGGCATAGCATCTCAAGAATATTTCGATTGTAGAACGAGACAATAATCGTTATCGGTTGTTGGTTAAAGAATCTGTTGCTATCAGATCAAAAGGTCCTGTCTTTAATGGTACTGATAGATCAGTTCCACTTTACGTCTTTCCAGAAGGTCATTTCAGTACAAATGTGAAGGGAAGGAAAAAGAAAAAACAGTAACGTTCACGAACAGTTTTCTTATTTTTCTTTCTGTTTCTCCAGTGACTATAGATATATACACATATAAGTGTGTTAGACAGTTCACTCTATAGGTACATTTTATAACTTGTTGTATTTTCTGATGATGAATAAAGTTTATTCGAAAGCTAAAATAATGAATTTCAGCTCTGACATCATGTGTTGATATGCGTGCATTTAAAATCGATTAGCGATGTTTCTTACTGTACTGTTACGCTTACGCTGTTTCTACCTTCTCGTTGATTACTTTCCACACTGGGCTCATCTGTTTGATATTATATTAATGTCGTTTTATTCTTTCTTTTTATTTCATTTTTATTTGCATAATTTTCGTTTCTTCTTTCTAATAGGCAGTAGACATTCAAAAAGTATTATTGTTTAAGGATTGTTTTTATTTTCTTCCGTTTGTAGTACGCGAACGTTCAATATCACTGACACTTTTTATCTACTATGTAGATTTTTAGAACGACATGCTCGGACATTTTGTCTGGAAAGGTACACCGTGGTAAACCTCTTCGGGAAACCAGATTTTGCCATAGAATTCTAACTACAACTGCCACCTATCAAGCACACCGAAAACTGCAGGTCTATATCGCTTTCCCGTCAAAGGCTATTCAAAAAACATGGACTGTCTTGTATTCTGAAATGGATAGTAGCTTCAGTTTCTACCTTTATCATTCGTAATTTCGCCAACCGCAATTTTAAAATTTTAAGGCTTGATTTTCCGATATTGTCATTAAATTCAGCTTAAAAATTTACATAATATAACTTTTTCCATTGACTGTAGCTCTATGGCCATACGAGATAAATTGTTTGTCTGTGTGTTTGTCCTTACCTATATGATATTTAATTAATTAAAAATTTACCTATATGACATAGCTTTTTTTAATCTATTATGAGTATATGCCACATAAATTAAGTAACGGATTAGAATTGAAAAAAGTGGAAAAAAATAGAACTCTACGGTATAAATTGGAACTGTGTTCATTGTTTCAGTATACAAAAATACTTTTTACAATTTGTATAGCGCGAGTCTTCCTCTATCTATGCGCAACGGTTCGTCCCAACAAATTTTCGCCCAACGTTCCCAGTTTGTAGAGCATACTTCGAGGTATATGTCCTGAAGTATTCTCGGCTTACTGACAATATTTGTCTGAGAAAAAAATTAATTACTTTAGAAAATATTGTTAAGTTTTTGAACAAGAGGCTACTATTAAAAGAATTCCTGTCCATTCTCCAGTCATCATAAAAACTTGATTCTTGTCTAGATCGATAGAGAAATATGTGAAGAATATTTGCTAAGAGAAAATATGTAAAAATTTTTGTTTTTTTCTTTCTGTTATTGACTAATTAGCACTAATAAAGGTTAATTTAGCTTACTCTACTACCTTACAGTCCCATTTGCAAAATAAGGACTCAACAAAAGAACTTCAGCTATACCTCAACTGACAGACAATTTCACGAGCTACAAGACCGACTAGCTTAGGAGTTTTAGAATCCAGTTTATTCATTAGAATTTTTTTATAACAGTCCCGTGCTCAAAAACTTGACAATATTTTTTAAAGTAATTAATTTTTTCAGCCAAACAATGTCTGTAAGCACTGCATCATAAAAGATAAGAACCGCAAAGAACAAAGCACGAACAGAACAAAAACAGACAACGAACAGAACGAAACAAAGGAAAGTAGTCCTACCGATGTACATACTAGAATGAAAGGTTGTGACAAAATAATCGTCACACTGATTAGTGCTCCCTTATCCATCTCACAAGAAACTTTTAACGCATGCGAACGCCTTCGAAAATTTTAATGAATGAAAAGCAGTTTGAAAATTAAAATCCCTTCTCATGCGAATACTGGTGCAATGCACTCGAAGGCGTTCGTCATTACATTTCATCCCGTCACATTCATTAAATAATATATAATAAAATAATGTAAATAATTAAACATTTGGCTAGACAAAACGCATACTAAAAAGCACTAAGTTTGTCTCCCAGGTTTTCGCTGAGATAACATGGAAAGAAATTAACAATTAAATAATAAAGCGTTCTGCTTACCGAAAGAATCATTACAACAGTTATATGTTTTTTCCTAAGTAAACATGAACAATTCCATGTTAATGTTTTAATGACTCCTTGCATAAACAGATTGTTGAAAATTTCTTTATCGACATTCTTTGACTTTTTTACGTTTCCTATAAAACTAAGTATATTTAATAGAATTGAAAAACATTTTTGTAAAATCATTTTACACAAAAAGCGAGCTTTCGATACTTCACAGTATCATCAGGCAAAAAAAATTTCTTTGCTCAGCAGTAAATTAAACAGTTTAGGACGCTCAGACGAATTCATTATTGGACAAAATGTATAGCAGATTTGTCATGTTCCTAACTGTATTTACCAGCGTACATCCGTATGTTCTACCTGCTACTCTACATTATGAACGTTTCCCGATTAGTAAACAAGTGCAAAAATATCTTACTGCATTCGACAGTGTAAACCTGAATAGTGGCAATATAAGTAATAATTGGTTAGGAAATTCGAATAAAATCGGTTTGGGCTACAATCCTCTGTATGGCAGTCCTTTGTGTTATACCGGTACTCTTGTCAGATGGAAGGATTCACACGTTCAATATTCAAATTGAATTATCTTCAGTCGGCACCTAGAACATGCACACAAAAACTAATACCCGAACAAGTTGAATTAGATTGTCTGCCATCGACCACGTGGGATGCCAGCACAGCAACGATAAACACATTGGAGGAACTGTACCAATCAATAACCAATAAAGTTGAAGTATCTGCGAGGTAGCATTAAGACAGCTTCATTTTCATACACATTTTCAGATGAAACACACTATATCCTTGATAATATTGTTCAAAAGGAAAGAACAGTGACATATACAACAGCACAAATATCCTACGTGAAATAGTCAATGTTCGAACCACTGTTGGAATTATCAGACGATTTTAGATATGTCATTGATAGTTTACCATGTTGTGACTATGATTCTAATATTGAACAATATATTTATGAGTATATATTTAACTATTTCGGTTTCACACTTATTTCAAATCTATTACTTGGTGGAATTGCCCAAGAAATTCTTCTCATAGATAGGGAGTCTTATGAAATAATGACAGAGCAAGGCTGTGATATAGAAAATGAAGCAAAAGTGGAATTTTATGTCTCGGTAGACGCTACACAGCAGTCAAGCTATGACAAGATAACACATGATAAATTTACAGCTGAAGTACAAGAAAAGCATACTTCAACACTGGGCGGTGATACATCGATAACAACAATTGAAAACTGGTCAGCAACGGTTCCATCGAATCCTGTCATTATCAAACTCGGCATTCGAAGCATTTTTGATTTATTAAATCATGGTCGATTTCCTAACGACTCATTGATACAAAATAAATCAGCATTAATTGCCCAAGCGTTAAATAATTACATTGTTAATCCAGTGTACTGTTATAACAATTGCACGGACCATGGTAGTTGTGTGCCAAGTGCATATTTTCAATTTGGAATATGTAACTGTAGTGAGGGCTTTTCAGGTTTTGATTGTTCTGTTAAACGATTAATAACAGCAACAAAACAAAATTCAGGGAAACCGGCAAACAGTGGCACAATGTGTGCATTTTTCGATGTTCAGTTTGCCATTCTTCAGCTTTTCATTTTAATGTTATTTTCGTTCTCATTCATGTGTTGATTTTACTGCGTGCTATTTATTGCAATTATTCTGTCTGTCTGTTTGTTAGCAAAATATCGAGTGAACGTATCAACAAATTCTTTCCAGATTTGACATATAGGCTAGAGCGAGGATCTTGGATGGAACAATATTATTTTTTATTTACAGAAACCTCACTTCCTTCGTAAGAGAAAAGCTTATTCTTATTCTTGTATGTCAGAAAGCGTTACAAAACATGCTCAATTTTTGTATTTTGATATTGCACAACTTTTGTTGAATAGGTGTGGTATAGTAGTAGGCAGAGGGAGATTCGATGGAATATGCTCGGCTGTTATTCATTTTATCTCATTTTATTTTCCCTGGTACTAGAAGACCATTGCTAACATTTTTTCCTAACATCCTATCCACGATTTCTGTTCAAAAATCGACTTGAGTTGGCCGCCAAAACAGAAGACGATCATTGATAAAAAGAAATAAAACACAAAGCAGAATAATAATAAATCTTGATTCAAATAACCTAAGAGCGCTATAGGGAAAAACATCGACATTCGTCAGAACTAAAAGAAAAATATTCTAAAATAATAGTCAACATTAAAGCCGTGAAATAAGACTTGAGCCTACAAAACGAGATAAAATGAATAACAGCCGAGCATATCCCATCGAATCTCCCTCTCCCTACTACTATACTACACCTATTCAACAAAAGTTGTGCAATATAAAAATATAAAAATTGAGCATGTTTTGTAAAGCAAACATTGCAAATACTTTGAGGCTCTTGGGTTCTTATCATCCCAGAAACGACATAAACATCTCACAAGTTTCCGATTGTGTGACGTACCTGAATTTTTTCTATATAAAATACTTTTTATCTAGGTCCTTAGTCTCTTGGGTTCTAGTCGAGCTGAAAACGAATTTAAAAGTTTAGGTGCGTTTCCGATATGACAAGAACTTAAGAGCCTCAAAGCATTTGGAGTGTTTGCTCAGCGTTGTTCAGCATATGTCTTGATGATTTAAAGCATATTTGTGGATTTTGCTGGCGTCTTTGAGTGAACTTTGAGCAACTATAATCTTCTTTTGTTGCTCCGTTACATATGAGAGATCATCTAGATGCAATTCTAGAGCGTATAGGCAACGAAAGGAGAAAATACAGTTCAGCTATAGAGATCAAATGCACCGCTTTAATTTTTTCTGCCTGATTATACCGTTCTTCATCCTTATAAACAATTACTTTTGTTCGACCGCGCTACGTTCTACGAAAATAAATGCTACTCAGTTAGCGCAGCCTATAAAAATATTTATCTTTGGAACCGTTGAGAAAACTTTCAGAAAATACTTAACTAATAGTTATTATTCGTTGCCCAAAGTTTCAGCTCAATCCGTCTGGCGCAAAAACAGTCGCTTTTTCAAATTCTCTCATAATGGAGTTCCCGGAAACATTCTGCTAGATTAATTCTTGTGTTATCTGTTCTTCGGTAGTTATTTATATTCTCTTTTTCTTTGTTGAGAAAGTAAAAAAATGTAAATAAAACAGTTCGGATTTATTGTGGTCATTTTCTCTGCTTTTGTTTAACTAAACAAATTTTCTATTTTAATCATGTATTTTCTGGAAAAAGACTCCTTTCAGTTTTTGAGATATGTGGCAATTCTTCTATGGAACTGTCCCTGTCAGATTTTTATGCCGGATTCCTCGGTCGTATACTGTCCCGAGCTATATTTAGAAAAAGATACATTTTACTTTCTGAGATAAATGTTATGTGCCAAATAAGGGAAAAGTGGCAAATTAACGAATAAATGGATCAAACAACATGCATGTGATGCTGTGGTTTGAATTTTTGTTGATTGTTCTTTGATTTTCGTTTATTCAACCTGATATAGCCCGGACTTCGACTTTGAACCTAAAGTTTTTAGCAGAGACTATTGTCGCATAGACGAACACAGCCTGCTAGACGAAACTTCTAGCACTAATTTCATTTCTTCTCAGAGTTTTAAAAAGTAGGAATCACAGACAGAATCGCTTATTTTAGTCATCGACGACGACAGAATTTTTTGCTGCTGATGCTTTGTTTTTCCATGTTACAAAGAGTAATGATATTTCAAAAGCTATTGATCAGGTAAATAGTGACTTAAGAGATGTTCCATGAGTAGATCGAGTACCCACCCGTAAGGTGGCCTGTCAATCGCGAAAAATAGATTTTGCTAAGAGTACATCATTCAATTCAGCATGAAAAACTGGGGTGACGAAATGTTTTTTACACTTATGAGCCCTTTTTCTTGGAAGAAAATCAAGTTTTCCCAACATCTAGACCCAAAAACCGAAAAATTTATCAATTTCAGCTTTTTATGTATAAAATCGTCAATTTTCACTCAATCTCTTTGAATGACATTTCATCCGAAAGAGCGTAGAAAAGTGAACATAACCTAATATTTGAAAAGAATTAAAGTTAAAACAGTAGTCGGAAAAAAAGACTTTACTGGAATTTTGCGGTTTCGAAAAAACGAGGTTTATGTGGAAAAACCTGAATAGTCAAGCAACCGAACGTCGGGCGCTAATGAAAATTTGATATGTCATAAAGCAAACAGTTCTACGCCTGATGCATATTTCAAAAATATCAGAATCGACACAAATCGGAATCAAAATGGTCCCATAAGACCCAAAGCAAAAAATACTTTAAATAATTTGTTTTCGCCGGGAAATCACCTCCAGTGGAATCCGCATTAATAATTAAGTATATAAAAATCTTTTCCGTCTTTCATACTCCATGAGAAAAATCGAGTTTTCCAAAAAACTTGCGAAAAAAGTCACCGTTTTCTAGGTTTTCACCTACAAAATCGACAATTTGCATTCAAATATTTTTGATCAACATGTCGTTCGAACTTTCAGCTTCAATAAATAGACACAAAATGAAAATAGAAAATAAAAAGGCATTCTTTTCTTTGTAGAATAATGTTATATTCATGTCATCAGGGAAAACGAGTGACGAATGTTGGCAAGAGCAAAAAAAACTGAACAAGATCTAATACTTAGAAGAATTTTAGGTTCAAAATAATAGTCAGAATAATTGATTTTCGTTTATTGAACCAGATATAGCCAGGACTTCGATTTTGAACCTGAAGTTTTTAGCAGAGACTATTGACGCATAGAGCCTGATAGACGAAATCGAGGAAACATTGCCCTGCATAACCTGCATGAATCTGTCGAAAACTGACTCGTAAAATTATGTCTGCCAGTTCTACAAAGTTGAAAAACAGGTCTAAGGACTGAGGAATCTAAAAGTTTTGTTTAGATGGGAGCTGAGAGTGGTAAGTGATTCAGTCTATGGTCTGATAATAAACGTATTTGGGATAAAGTAAGATATCTCATTACAGGTATTTGTAGTGTACATTATAATAAGATGCACCAGCATCAGTCGGAATACAACCAATTAGAGTTTTTAATTTTTCGCTCCATGTTTCACCCGGAGTTGCACTACTACCTTCAGCAGGAGGAGTAGAAGCCGTGGTCGTACTGTCAAACTGAAATTCCTTCGCCAAACCAATTGTATTAACGCCTAACAGAGTTGACAGTGGCTGACTGAAGTGTTGATCATTTCCTGACGAGACTGACGGTAACTTTTCTGCCGCTTCAGAACTAAAGACGATACCATATTTTAATGAATTAATTTCATTGGATAATAAATCGACTTCATACTTTAATAAGAGAATTGGTCGTTCATCATCCGCTTTGTTCTTTTCGATTTCTTTAACCAATTCTTCCAGCTGCTGAAGTTTTTTGTATCTGCCGTCACGAAATGTACTAAAATCCATTTCCAGTTCATTTAACAATACTTTTATTTCACTTGCTTTTATTTTGCTTGTTCGTTCAACAGCATTCAGCATTTCCTTTGTATATTGAGAATCACTTTTACCAGCAGCAGCAATTTTCTCGTTCATTGTCAGACGCCAATGAAACAATTGGTCATAGACTGAACTCTCAACCTGTTTCAGATCCAATTGGTTTAGTTGTCTGTTTAGTTCCTGCAGTTGTGATGAACAGGAATTGACACATTCTAAACGTTCGTACAGTTCATTTGTAGCTGTAACGGTAGTAGCCATACTTTTTTGATATTTTTTTTATTTATTCTTTCGTATAGTGGTAAAAAACACAAATTATTCGTATCGAAGAAGAAAAATACGTCGAGGGGTGTTAATTCTATTAATCGATGATATACATGAGTGCACAAGCTACAGTTAGTCATTCGTTACCTCCTTTTATATGAATCATTTCGTTTTTCTAGATAGGCTTGCTCTTCAGAGTTATCTACTTTTGAAAAGTCGACTAAAATATTCTGAATCGAGCAGAGTTTTTGTGACAAGTCTAGATCCGTTTTGACTGGTATGCCCAACTGTCACTGTGAGATCGAAAATGAATGCCATTTTTTTCGAAAACTGGCCGGTTTCGGTTATTTTAGCATCGGAAACTTTTGCAGTGAAAAAGTGTGCACTAGAAGGGCTAAAAAGTAGTTTTAATTAATCAGTTTAGAACTCCTTTGTTGAATGAGATATGAATTAGTCAAAAATAAAATAGTGACGAAACTTTCAACTAACGGCAGCTTCAGTATAATAAGACTATATAAAGTATTTCAGAGTTAAAATGTGATGAAAAGAAACGATATTTGTTAAAAATGCATGTGTGCGTTTGTGTGAAGCGAAGAAAAGAAAATATTTTTTTTTCTTCGGAAAGGAAGAAAGAAAAAAAATGAATTTCATTTCTTTATTCAACTATGTGAGAGTGATCGTTAAGCGCAAAAACTGGCGTATAGCTTTCAACAAAAAAATGACAGCCTAAATCGAAAATCGGGCTCTGTTACATTGTTCCCAAGATCAACCCGAGCTCTCTAGCGCTTAATTTGACGGAGAAATCTTCCCGACAGTGTTTATCACGTAGGACAAAGTCGCTTTTTTGAGACACACTATGCTAAGGTTGCAACTGCGGCAAATCGAGACTTCTCCTGTAAGTAGATATCTGCGGCAAGCTGAGGATGAGAATATAGACTTGTAGGACATTAGGGATAAGCAGTACAAGAGGATAGAAAGGATGAAGCAGACCAAAAGGATAAGACGAATAGAGAGGACAATAAGGATGGTAAGGACAATAAGAACAATGAAGACAAAAAGGACAGTAAGGACAAGAAGGACAAAAAGGACAATAAGGACAAAAAGGTCAAAGAGGACAAAGAGGACAATAAGGACAAAAAGGTCAACGAGGACAAAAAGGTCAACGAGGACATAGAGGACAATAAGGCTTACGTTTATCTTTGCAGGTGTTGGTAAATCCTTCAAATGTCTAATTGATGAGAAGGGACATCGGAGCACTATAATGGTCTAAAAATGACATAAATATGATCATCCGAAACAATCAGTTAGCAAAATGGTGTTAAAATGACTCATAAATGTGCTATAAATGACTTAAATATGATCATAATTCGATAGTCATTTTAAGATCACATTTAGCTCATCGAAAAATGGCCTTAGAAGAGTTAAAAAATGAGACAATAACTGGGCTTAAAATGAGCTAAATATGATCATAAATGATCTTGAAATAGATCATAAATGAACAATAAATGACTTATATATAGATCATATTTAAGGTCATTTTCATCGCCCTAGGTTGCACTTGATCAAATATAGCACCAAATGTCCGTAGCTATAATTCCACATACAAGGAAAGCACCTCACGAAACTAAGCCAACACAGATTTAGAGTCATTCCCTTGATCTGATTTTTCGGCTTGTCCAAGCGTGACGCTGTGACGTTTTTGACACAGTAATTTGAGCTTTTCTTAAAAAGTGTAAGAGCCAGAACCGTCGTTCTTGCGCCGTTCGACGCAGCTCACCATACTCTACTTTTGGTATAAAGTGTGGTTAAGGACTCAAACTTTTAGAAGCGTTTGTCGGCGCGTGACGCTGTGACAAAAAAAGGCCCTAAATTCGAAGTGCTTCTCGTTAAAAGCTAATTTGCTGCGAATTTAGAAGAGCTAATAAAAAGTGTCTCGAGCAAAGTTTGTAGAGGAGTAAACGAGCTACTGATTGTTAAAAAAGAATCTTTCCAAAGAGCTTTTGATCCCTCAATAATTGTGTTTTATCGTCGTGACGCTGTGACACTCGTTTTTCCCAACAAAGTTTAGAGCACGAAACATTGCTCAAAGGGTTTCATTTTCACATCAGACTTAGCTTTAGACATCTATTATAGACTAAGGTGAAAATAAAGCTGAAAAAATGTTTTCACTTTCTTAGAATTGTGTGAAAATCTTAAAAATTAAAACTGTTATGATCTGCCATTC